ACCTTCATCCGATATTGTGTGCTAAATAGTTTATTCTGAAAACTCGCCTCGGGTCCCTTTGGATAGAAATCTTATTTTATTTTTAGGTGCCTTTGAAAAGCAGCAGACTGTACAATACACACTTTTGCTGTACAATTGGAATGTGCTATCCGTACCAAACATAAATTGCGTTACAAATTCGCAGAGAATATTANTAATATTATTTAAGAAATATTTCTTTGAAAATATTCATTCGATTTTAACCGACTTCAACAAAAGCAGGAGGTTATAGTAGACAATATTTCTGACAAAAGATCTGTAATTTGTGAAAACACTACACACCAATTATAAAAATTTTCATTATGATTATGCACTACGTAGTTACCTACCTACTTGAATATAAGCAGTAAAATCTAATTTCAAGTTGACACCCACCACTGATCAACTAAAATACTTTTTAATCTATCAAATTATTTCTGAACTCTGATCAACTGAATTTTTTTCATGTTTCAAAAAGAAACAAAACATTAACTAAGAAGTCAACTGATCAAAATAATATTAATATTTTCAAAGATCAAAGATTCAAAGATTGAAAAAAAATTATGCAATTAAAGTATTCATATTAGTCCTATCATGACAGTCATAACAGAAAATAAAGATGACAAGGTAAATATATTTCACAACAAACAAACACTTCTCAAGTAGCCATTAAGCCCAACAAAAATAACAGAAAGAAAAATATAATATCATTACTAATTAGTTGAAACTCGAACTGGTCAATTATTGAGCGTTAACGAGCGCCCACGATGTCCGGTTAGTATTTCACTCCGATTGAGATAAATGATTTTATTGCGATAATAATGAATAACGAGGTAATACCTACTCGTCGAAAAATCTGCAGATAATTATATGCTACATAATTAACAAAAGTATTGAGAACTAGCTGACCCGGCGAACATTGCACCACTTGTGTTACAGAAAGAATGTAAGATTCTAATGATGAATTATTTTTTTTAAATCGGTCCAGTAGTTTGGAACCTATTTAATACAAACAAACAATCAAATCTTTCCTCTTTATAATATTAGTGTAGACTAGTTTCAGCCTGCGACTTAGTTCAAATGAATTTTAATTTACCTACGACAAAAAGTTTTTATAGTTCTTACCGCCGTGGTAAACATGGAGTCATTGAGGCACCCCATTCCACTAAAGAAAAGTTGTTTTTAAGATTACCAAAACACGTTTCTTTTTATTTTAATTCTAGCAATGAAACCACAGTTTCAGATTATATCATTTATACCGCGATCAAAAAGGGAGTCCTCATTCCACCAATGAAGGGTTGATTTTTAAAAGTACTATAAAAGTACGTTTCTTGTACGTACGTCAATGAGTAACCAAAGTTCAAGTAAATCCATACAAACGTTATTATTACCCTTTTAGCCCCTTCAAAGATATTTTTAAATGTAAAAAGTGTTTTGTTAATTACACACACAAAAGCATTCCAAAAATTGCTAATAAAAATTGCTTTTCATCGCATTGTCTAAAAATCTGAGCTTCCTAAAAAATCCAAGAGAGTGAATAAGAATAGTCCAGACTTTTCTTTTTTTTGGCATCCATGTCATTAGCAATAATGATTCATATAAACAAAATAATTGATATATAAAAATGTTTTTCTATGTATATTATTCGCGATCGGGCTAAGAACGACGCCCACGCTAAACGTGTGGGCCGCTAGCCCGCCACCACCCTTCCGTCGCCATAGGAGACACCCAAAGGAAAAAATAGTGATTATTACTCATTTATCGAGACGTTATTATATTTATAACAATACGTCGCGACACGAGAAAACAATCACCCGACATCCGACACCCGCATCACTAAGGACCAGAGCAGACTAGCTACTTAGCATCGCGTCGGCGATCGGCAATTTTGCGACTGTATCGATGCAGCATCGCGATTTCGCAACTTCATACGTTCGGACCCGGTATCGGAATCGCGCTTATTAGTGATTCTGTCGCTGCGTCGAGCTTCCAAAAAGCGACTATACTTATGGCCGCGTTAGGCGTTTTTAAATGTGTATGGAATTTATATGGTCGCTGCATTCAGCTTCTAAAAAGCGGCTAAATCTCCGATCGCTGATATTAAAGTAGCACGTGTGCTCTGGCTCTAATGGGCGCGACATCATTAATACGGTCACTTGGATATCGAGTTACACAAACAATGGATGTTTGTGTCTTATTCTCCATAATAATAACCGAGAAAATATGATGAAGCTATTGTATCGGAAAAATAATGAGGGGAAATGGGCAAATAATTAGCTGTATGGATATAGATAATATGTTGTATGGTGTGAAGATAAGGTGTTGGTGTGATCCAATATTATCTTATCACTATGGCTTTAATGCAAAGCAACAAAAAATCGTTGGTTATGGTAGCAAAATTAATTTGGCGTAATATCTATCTAAATAATTTTTCTCAAACATATCTTATTTTTTTTACCTACCTGCCTACCTATTCATATCCAAAATATTCTAGAAAAATAAATTAATATGGCGACCATTTATTTTGTGCTTAAAACCCGTGTCAGCCAACAAACATGTTAAAGGTCACTTCTAACATTATTTACTGCGACACAAAAACCTCAAGAAATGTGTCGGGAATGTTATCGCAAATTTTGTTGATAACAAATCCCCCGAATTCTATGTTAGGTCGGCAGAGCGTTAACATAAGTTTACTGTCAACACGATTAAGGGTACCTACGTCAACATTAGTGGTTCCTAGTGACACCACTCACATATCACACATTACGTGGACTTGGCTAGTTATAGGTATTGAAAGAATATTGGAAAAACGAAAATGAAAAAAAATGTCAGCTAGCAAGACAAAAAGATGGAACCCACACTAGGCATTGCCTTGTGCTGTGGAGGTAAAAAAAATCCTAATTTTCAATTATTTTCTCAACTTATTGCTTTATTCAATTGAAAACTGCTAGTTGAGAATATCAGAAAGGAACGAAATACAAAATGAAAAGAAGAAGCATAATCTAAATGCAAAAAATAATTTTCTGCATTCGATTTGTAGATGAAATTTTCTCTTTACCTCCACAAAGAGTGAAAATTGTTTTTCTATTAAATTTACTAGAAACAGCAAAAACAAGTTAATCCGTGCCCGTTCGAACTCTAACGAAGGGATTATAATACAGCATTACAAGAGTAAATTGAGATATCTTTTCCGCGAAGAGGGGATTGGAGAAAAAATTCAAAACAATCATCGTATTGAAGCAACTAAGCCAAGCCAAGTGCCGACGCTGAGCAAATAGGGAAAGAAACAAATTATCTCTATCGGACTAATTGTCGGCGGATCAAAGTGGGGGAGCGATGGGCAAATCCCGCCCGTTATGTTTTTTATATTATTTAATTTTTTTATTTTCAGCCAGGGAGTAAGGCGGGGTGAGGCCGCGGGCGCTACTCGCAATTATTGTTATTACAAAGAGATTGGCGCTGAGCCGGATCAAGAGTCGAGAATTTTTCACTGAATTCATTTCGACAGCAGGTAATTGCAGTAGCTATGTCGCAGGCAAATTGTATGATTCCGCATTTTACAAACGGCGTCGTCAATTCACAAACGCTCGCTGTTCTATGAAATGCCGAAGGCAAAATGTAAATTGCCTTGGCACTTTATAATATGCCAAAACATTTGATAGCCAATTCAATCGCTGTTTACAAAATGCCGCGGCAAATTGAAGTATTTAGTTCTTTTTCTCACCACGCGAGGCGCTGCTAATTAAAACAAGAAAAATGGCGTCGGATAGCGGTGTTGTGATACAGAAAACAGTGCAAATTCTACGTATTCAAAGGACTTTTCACAAAAAAAGACATTTATTATACTTAGTGAGTTAAGAAAATTTTACGATTCACAAATAGGAGCAGTGAAAAAGCTATGGAAAAATAAAATAGTTTTTGAGGTTATCCGGCACGTAAAACACGCTAAGGTGACAATGGTATCTGGTGCTCGGAGGACTGCTGCGGAATATATTGGTATAAAAAATATTTTGTTATGTCTTCTAGACTTCTTCTTGGTATAATTAAAATGTTATATATCTTGGTATAATTATAATGTGATAAGTCTTACTTATCTAAAGGACTGACTATCGAAACTTATTTAATGTCATATTTTTATGTACCTACCTATAGGTACGTCAATAGTTTAAATTAGTCTAGTGTTGTTTTTGTTACGAAAATATTTCAATTACTTTAGGAGTAGAAGTATTTTAGGTTTGTCTTACTTGAATGGATACCTACCTGATTTCTGAAATTATGTCTGATTGGTCCAACATGTGTTTTATGATGGTCACCCTATTGCAACAATCATAGTCGAAATTTTATCAATTGACCGAGTTGCCAATTTGCCTTCGGCATTTCATAGAACAGCGAGCGTTTGTAAATTGACGACGCCGTTTGTAAAATGCGGAATCATACAATTTGCCTGCGACAGCTACACCATATTTACGGTTTGTGGTGGGAAACGGTGAAACTGCGATTCTCAAAGTGTTTCGTGGGTTTGTAACGCGAGGGGTCTGCCAAAAAGACATCAATCGCAATGTATTGTCACAATTAATAGCAAAATATGGCAACTCGCGGAGTAATAATTCAATTTTAAAATGTGATCAAAACCTATCATCTTAATATCGTTGTCGTTATTTTTTCTCGTTTGCGAACATCTCCTCAAAAACTTTGATCAAAAGTTTTCTGAATACATCCGTGTTCTTTAAAATACTTGATTATTTATTTTCATATTTTCTCTGCAGAACTAACAATAAATCAGTTTTTTAAATTATTTTATGGCCATATTATTAACCTTTACAATACAGCCCCCAAACTAAAGATTGAGAACCACCGCATTAGAACAATCTGCCGCGCTCCACTCTTCATAGGAAGTGAGGGATTACCGGGGGAATGGAAGCCGCGAAATTGGTGTAAACTAAAATAAAATAAAGAAACAATTGAAACAAAGCAACACTCACCAATGAACACGAAAATCTGGTGATGGGCGTAGCGCAGCAACATAGAGATTGAGACAGTCTGTAACAAAACACAATAATATGTAAGTAAGGTAAGTAGATGCAAGATAAAGGTCATAGCAGACATACTCGGAAAGGGATCAACACCGTATCGCCTTTTGCGAGCTGTCACCGCCTTTCGCGCGCTGTCGCGATCTGTCACGGTGCAGATAAGTGTGCGTTAAAGACTAAAGTATGGAGTTTCATACGAAGAATACTGACCACCTCGAGTTGATACGGTTACGATCCCTTTCCAGGTTGATAAATGTGCTACGGCCTTAAGGTGATGCCTTGCGAATATTGGGCGTTTTAAAGAAGCGCAGAATTAGTTTTAATCGTACTTTTCTTATTACTTATGTTCTTATTTTGAAATATGTCATAGTTGACTAATAAATCTAGTGTCTGGTCGAAGCCGAAACATTCTCGATAGAAAAAAAAATCCAAAGATGACCCTTCTATTACTCGGTTTTTCGTTTTATAAGCAGATAGGCTAATATTTCAATACCAAATTTTGTATATTGGTAAGGTAATAACATATTCTAAGTACTGGTCGAGTTATTTTCTTTAAATAGTGTTTGGTTTTTCAATAAATACATGATTTCCGATTTTTGTCGCTTACGTTATTTTATTCCGCGCCGCGCGCTCTATTGCTGTCCCTTTCCTCGCACTGAGAAATCATATTTCTATCCCTCTGTGTGCGAGGCATTCAGTCGGAAAACTTTTACGAGGTAGCGCCTTAAGTATGATTACATTGACATTGCTTTTACATATTATGACGAGCGTGATTTGGATGAGACAATGAACACCTTAAACTCAGTCTTTTTTTTCTTTATAGTTGTACAACTAATCGTGCCGTAATGATGTAGGTATCAGACAAAATTATCATAATAAGTAACACATGTAGTGGCAGGTAAATACTTATGAATTAAAAATATACTTCGTAATTATAAATACGCTTTTATTTTATTAACAACTACATCGTCTGCTCGTTTGCCTCCTATCACATAAAAAAAAAAATCCAATTCNTCCAATTCGGTTCGGTCAAGTCGGGTTCGATTCCCACCTTAGGCAGTACGATTTTATCAAGTTATTTTAGAAACCAGATGTTAAGAAACTTATCAATATTTTGATGATAATAGATAGATTTTTAATGCCAGTATAATACCACATCTCACTGCTAATTATGCCGTTGAAATTCTGTACATTTTGGAACAAAATAATTCTGAGCATCATAATTTTGTCTAGCAGTGAATGTCTTTGGTTGTAACCAACGAACGAATACCTAAGAAAACAGACATATCGCGATTCAAGTCGTTCAGCAACACGCATTACCCACAAACCGAACGTCCAATTGGAAATTCCTTCACCTTTCTGCATAAGGTTGGGTACATACAGCCGATCGCAGTTTACTTAAATGGATTCAATCTGCACTAAGCGCTTCGTTAATGAAATTCAATCGAGGGAGGAGGCCGCGGGGAGCAAATGATGTGGCGAAAAGATTGATAGAGGCGAGGGACTGCCACCTATGTACACCCCGCTCAAATTGTATGGAACTTGAAAACACTATTCATTTCGGTCAGTTGTATTAGTTTTCTACGGTTGTGTGAGTTATATAAGATTAATTATCTTAGGCATTGTAGTTACAATAATATAATAATTTCACTAAATACATGAGAACCACTTTGATTTAGAGAGTCACAAATTGTCAACATTCAATATACAATTTCAAATAAGCGATTTTGTTAGCCAATTTTTCGTCAGTAAATATTTGCATGCCTGCTACTGGTGCGGTAATATTTTGAATTTCATGAAAAACCGGAAACGCATTTATTATATTTTAAAATAATATTGCTGAAAAACTACACCTAAAATTGTTGTTTAAAGTAAATGTCACTGATACATTTGGGAATATTTGTAAAAGCCGCAAAGGGAGCGAACCTCTTTTTATAAAATTATACAGAAGAACAAAAAACTACATAGTGCCCGAAGCATAGAGCATTTTTGTATACTTCTAACTAAATTTTTGACCGTTTATAGGATGTTCGCCCCTTTACGGCGTTGGCGACGAATTGATACGTAGGTGAATCTATAGAGTATTCAATTTTATCCATAGATTCATTAATTACGCAGAGGCGGTCTAAACGACCGTTTTCACTTATAAAATAGTCATATGGTTCTCCCACCCCATTATGCGATCAAGTCGCCTTAATATTAACGATCGATATGGCCACCGCTCTAGTTTACGGCAACCGTAAAAACTAACAGCTTCCAGCGTCCGGATTAAGTCCGGCCCATTGATGTCCGGACCGGGCACGGTCCGTCGCGTCGCGTGCCGTCCGGCTCGACCGAAATAGTCGGACGTGGAACATTTTGTTGATATAAAAAATCGGACAAATAACAGTTGGACTAGTGTAGGGATTTCCGCCCACTCATCATTAACGATAAATAAATAAATAAAAATAAACAAAGCAAATAAACATTATCTCTATGCTTCAATATTTGCAATTAGGCTTTTTGACAGAGATTGTAAAGAGGGAAGAGAAAAAAATTCTTACTTTTTAAAATTTTATCGAAATTTCAGATTTCATGAATAGAAATTCGTCGCTTGTGCCAAAACCATTTTTTAATTAGAGCATACTTTATTAGCAATTCTCGGCTTATCAGAGCCTCTAAAATAAATCCGAGACTGGCGAACCATACATAGTAATATGTGGTTTAAATTGGATATTAGACCAAACACTATAGTTACAAAAAGCACTTATTGAAAGCCTATATCTAGATCCATGATATACTCGTAGTTACTACAGATTTTTAATGTAGGCGCGTAGCGTTTACTACGACCACTATAAGGGCCGCATTACTTCTAAAACGACGCTCAACAACACCAAAGAAAAAGAAAAGATGCGGGCCTATGACTGATGTAGGTATCCATACCCAGACTTGAATTTGTCATTTTGAATCGGGTTTTGAATTTCTTTTTACATATTGCTAAAATCTTGTTACTGTACGTACAGGTACAGTTACAGATCGCCGTTACACGCAGCTTAATAGTTTACACATATTTCGGGCGAACTGCAAACAGCGCGAAAGGAGAGTTAAGTCCGATGCTCAAGGGCTTACGCCGGCTTTGGCTTTTAACTGGCGATAGTAGAGCAGAATAGATAATAGCTTAACAGCGTACTATTCTAACGATCGGACTGCAGGATTAGGCGAAATATTGTTTCTAACACCGACGATAATAGTATCAAAATCCTATTGATTTTACAACAAACTTAAGTAGGTACTTATTAAGAAAGTAGCGTATTTCGCAGCTTTATAACTTGGCGCTGCGCCAGTAAACGAGTGTTTCAATACGTGTATCATTTGCTATCCCAAGTTCACGGCAGCACCCCCAGCCGTGACAGTTGTCTCGTAGTACATAATTATGTTCTTGTATACCATGCAGAATCACAAAGAATTTGATACTCATAGAATATTTCCTGCGCTAAATATCATGTCATGAAAAACATGCTAGTGGCGTAGACATTACGACAGTCTCGTGTCTTGTGTGTGTATTCATCTAAAACCCCGATCACACTAGCCTTAACTTAACGATGAGCTTTCCTCTGGCGACCTTTACATACCGTGGCCGATGGGCTTTCCTCCAACGTACCCAAAACGTGGCTGCCGAACGATGCGTTATTACACGCGATTAAAACCGCTTTTACATTATGAAACTAGCAAACTAACCTAACCTGCCGTCCCGAGGCAGTACCTAATTAATTAGGTATAGACCATACCTAATTAATTACCTACCACCATACCGTATGGTGGACAGGCCATTTTCTCCAGTCAAAAAAAGGTTAAGAGGTTCCCAGTAAAAAAGTAAATCTGTGCTGCACAACAGTGGCTTTAAGACTACAGTTCGAGATTGAACATTTCGTACAGAAAATACTCCGTGCTACGTTATCTACTTCCAATAATCCTCTTAATTAATGCTAATGGAATAATATGTTAGTCAAACCACCGGATTAATTCCTTTGTGTTGCGGAACAAAACATTTCACGTATTATTATAGATTTGAAGAGGCATTAATAAAATCGAAGCCATATCACGCAGTGATCGGAAATTTCATTATTGGCAGCTGCCATTTATTTCCAGTTAGTATTCGTAAGTAGATTTGTTACTATATTTAACAATATACTTACGTAGCAGTGACGTGTGTAGCTCATTTATGGAAATGTGTATTTATATGGGACCCCCTAAAGTAGAACGGTCAAAACTAAATCGAAACGAAAGGTTAATTATAACAAAAATCCACTCAAATAATTTTTGACTCCGTCTTTTACATTACAAATATTAATTAAACACGATTGCTATATTATTATAAGAAACAGAAACAATACCTAGATAGATATATCCTTGTATAAAACGAAAAGCATTCTTCCGTGAACATATCAATTAATAGGTATCGCATAGCGGTCCCTCGGCGAGCCACTAAAATCAGGACTCGGAGTTACAGTTATTGCTCTTTTACAGCCCTTTCAAACTTTATTACGGCACCGAATACCACCTCTGACGGGCCAGACATACCGTTGTGTTTGTTTTACGAAACGAACGAAAAGTGCGCGGAAGAAATGCGCTTGTACGGTGTTTTAAATGCCTTAATGGCACTGGCTTTTATTTGAGATAGCGTTTTATTAATATGCTTATAAGATTTATTTATTATTCAATTATTATAGTCAGTAAACCGACTAGTCAATACCAGTTATGGTGTCATGAGCAGGAGCACTACATAATATAGTTACCAGTAGTTTTCACGTTATTCCAAATGTACGGTACATCAGACTTTACATTTTTGTTAAAAATCGCACTATTACACCAAAATAAGATTCTACCTACAGTATTAAGCTTGATGAATTAACTAAACTACTAAACTATTAATAATTTTTAGTTTTTCAAATCATTTGTTCTTTCAATAACATGGTAACCAACTAGTAGTAGTATGCATCAACAGTAATATTTGAGAATCTTATTTATTTA